CATGTTGCACACTAACACAATTGTCCGTATCACAATCTTAAAAACAGGCCATAGATCTATTCAAATGGTGCAATCGATGATCTCAACTTCATGTGTCTTTTGTGTTGGGTTTGACAATGCGGCCACTTCTGGTTATGTAGTGTTTGTTTTGTGCTTTGTTATGACTTGGACAGGGAGTCAGGTTTGACTTCAAGCTTGTGGGCCATGAAGTCGGACTTGTAGATTCAACGGGATCGACAGTCGGACTGCATCTGCTCGACCCGTCAGGAGCTGACACTTCTTGATCAGGCGATCAACGGTGGTGTTGGGTCGTCTTTGCAAAATGTGGTCTTTTACTGCAGGACTTTCTGCTGGGGTCACCATGACGTTGTCGTCCGGCTCATCCTTCCTTTCGTGGAAAGGTGTTGATTTTGGTCTCAAATGCACCCTATTCCTGACGTAGGCGCCGCCTGTTTCTCCTTCTATTCTATAAGATCTGTTGTTGAGCTTTTCTTTAATTCTGCCTGCGTTCCAACCGGGTTTATCAGGGTTTTGGTAATAAATAGTTTGACGCTTTTGCAGGGGATTCATATCTCTGGCTTTTCTGTCAAATTGTCTCTTGACTTTCATCCTGCGAGCTAATAATCTTTTCATGTCATTTTCTGGAACATAATTTTCCTTTCTCATTTGAGGCAAGAGCGTTCGTATTTCTCTCTGAAACATCATCTGGGTTGGAGTCGTCCCATCTTGTCTTAGGGTGTTTCTAAGTTCTAACAGTGCTTCGTATTGATCTTCGTGATTCAGCACACAGCGTTTCATCATGGGTTTTTTAAAATTATTTTTACCGCCGATTCAGCTTTTCCACTGGCTTGGTGATTTCCTGGAGATGATCGAACATGAGTGATACCCCAGTGTTGTGTGAACTGTTTGAACGTTGAAACGGTATACTGTGACCCACAGTCAGTGACAAGCATTTTTGGCACTCCATATCTAGCAAACTGTGACTTCATTTTGGTAATTACTGTTCCAGATGTCGATGTTGGCAAATAGTCGACTTCAATTTAATTTGAAAAATAGTCTACCAGAATAAGGTACTGTCTACCTTTTATTTAAAAAATGTCCGATCCAAGCTTTCCCCATG